TTGAAAGCGGATTTTGTATATTTTATTGGATTAATTTAATATGCCGGTTAGCTCGAGAGGTATTTGATAGAAATTGAAAACTTACGACAAACTAAAATCTCTCAAGTTCTCAAGCGATTTGGAAAATCGAGTTTTCTTTCAAAGAAGACGCAATTTCTACATCGCTTAAAGAATTCGCAAATAAAGGAAGACTAGTGAGATCTCTCTAATATTAATTTCTGTAAATTTATGTCTAACTTTTGTTATGCCAAAATTAATTACATTAATAATTAATTTTATCTGAGAGCGATGCGATTTTTTGAAGGAAATGTCTCGGCGCTGTCGGTTAATAATTGTGACTGAATTATCGAATGTCTAATTAATCACGAACTTCACCTCCCGCGACGGACGAGAAATCGCGTTCATTTCTCTCCCCCTTTTTCCCCTTTTACCCGTATAAGCGCACGGTCGCTCTCGCCTGCGATCGATCTTTATCACGGGGGGGATCGGAGGAGGGGGAGAGTTTTTAGGGCCGCGGGGAAAATATTTGCGCAGGGAAAACCGGGATGTTGTCGTCGGTAAACTGAGCGCCTACCTCCGCTCGCGCCCCTCGAATCCTGATAGAATCAACCTCGCATGGGACAATATGTCCTTTATATCCGATTTGACACGTCTCTTACGTCGCCGACGCGTGGGCGATCGATACGCGGCAATTTGAACCTCGCTCTCGTCGAGAAAATTTTCGATTGTTTCTTCCGGGATGCTCGTTTCTGAAATCCAGACTTTCCGGAGATGTGATCTTACCTATCGACATTAATATCATTAATATTTCCTTTATTCGGTCTTAATTAATTCAGGTAATGTAAAACTAAAAATGTAGAGCTAAATTTACTCATTGCTTGCATTTCCCTTCTTACAATCAGTATTGCTTGAAGTCTTTTTTTTTATTTTTTTATTTTTTTTTAGATGAAATCGTATGCGTACGTGACGCCCGCGAATCGATACACCCTGGCATATTTTTTCGTGCGGGACACCCTGTATTATTCCAGGGAACACAGGGGTGCACGACCTAGTTACGCTTGGGCGTGTTATATGGGTCATAGACACCATTCGCACAACGGTTGCACGTGCGCGCGCAACACGCTCACGCGTGTGCCGACTGTGCATTGGTTCACGGGAGCAGCCGACTCACGAATGTGGGGCAAGAAGGTTTTCTCACCCCGCTTTCGCCGTTCTCTCGCGATTAACGATTGAGCGGTGTCGCACCGAGAGAGAGACAGAGAGACATCGCGCGGCGAAGGTCGGTCCTTTCTCGGCTGATAAAATTTGAGAATGAAGAATGCTCGAAAACTGGGGTTTGCACTCTAGTTTATTTTTTTCTTTTTTTTCTCACCAGTTAAATGCGAAATTAGTGCGCGGGCGGAATGACGCTCGTTCGGTGTTTTTGCGTGCGAAATACAGAAACTATTTCAATCTCGCCTGTTGCGACTGTAACGGTGAGAAAGAGAGAGAGAGAGAAAAGGAGCAGCGATGGTGACGTCCGTCTCTCAGTGAGGCGGAGAATAAATCGACAGGCGGCGAATACCATGAGACTTGATTGTGACAGAATTTTAGCTCAAATGGCTCTTATCCATGGAGTCTAGTCTTAAAACAAGCACTGACTTTCACATTGTAAACTACATTGTTGCCCTCCCCGGCGCTCTGCGATACCTTTAACATTTATCGGAAAGGTTTTAGCTGATCGAAGATTGAATAACAAATAGTATATTGCTGCGTGATAAATCCTGCGACTCGATTTCTCGCCGCAATGCTTGTTTTTTTTTTGTAAAAAAACTTGTCAAAAACGATCGTCCGATCAATAATTATCGGGAAGGAAGCTTTGTTTCGGGTGCGTGCCTTTTTATATTTCTGAAGAGAAAAAGAAAGAGACAGATTTTACGTTCTTTCCGCGCGGCGGATAAACGATTTCGCGTAATAAACGTATAATAGTGCCCGCAGAACAGACATTTACATTTCGCCGAAATAATTCCCCGGGTTGAAACCGAACCGGGGTTTCCCCTAGCGCGGTTTCACCACGATGTACACCGGGTGCACACGACACGCGCACGCGTGCACTCGGCCAATATACATCCCTCTCCGCTGGCTCCCCTCTCATTCCTCTCTTATCTCCCTCGCCCGTTATCACCTGTCTCTGTTCTCCATCACTGTTCTCCGCACTTCGCCATCTTCCGATCATTCCGATCGCTCTCGCGCCCTTTCCCCCTCGTCTCTGCATAATTCTCTCTCTCCCTCCCTCGTCCCTCGGCGACGTCCCTGTCTTTCATCCCTTCGTCGTTTATCGAGATTCTCTGTCTTCGTCACTCTCGTTGATTTTACTACCGTCGAGAGAGAAAGCGCGAGATTTCTTTGTCTTTCTCTCTCGCTACTTACTCATACGTCTGCTCTTCTCTCTCTCTCTCTCTCTCTCTTTCGTTGGCTTCATGACGTTCTCGTTCCCTCCAAAGGTGCCAGCCACCCCCTCGCCGCTCTCCCTCGATCCGGGTGAGCCGCGCGTCGCGCGCGCCTCTCTTTCAGTCTCTCGCGCAAAGCGGTGCCGCGGCGATGCGACGTTACGTTACGCTCATTGCGGAGCTTGCGGTGCTGGTCCAGGGTTCTCTCTTCTCTCATCGGCGTCCGCCGAATCGCGGTGGATCGTGCGCATTCGTTCGCATTTGCCGTTTCCTTCGCTAGTTCTATTGTTCGTTTTTCCTTATTGGGGGGAAAATCGCACCTCCGTTCCCGCGAATTCTGTCGAACGCGGGCGCACAAAAGCACACAGAAGAGAGCGAAACGTGCGACGGCACCCGCGTGTCGCACAAGGAATGCGATCGGAAGAAACGAGAGGAAAGAAGGGAGATAGAGAAAGAGAGTGAGAGGAAGCGTTCTGCTATTTTCGAGACACCGTGAAGTCTTGCCAAAGCGTGCCTCCTCGGCCCGCGAACGGCGAGAATCGCAGCCGGAAGGTCGCGGTGGTAAACCCGCATTTCCGCTCGATCGGCTGTCTCCCCCTCTCTCGCCGAGATCGTTGATCGCCGAGCAGCGCGATCTCGGGGTTTCCTCCGGGATGTTCCTCCGCCGGAGCGCGACATGATCCAGCGACACGATTACCTAGAGCTCGCCGTCGACGTAAACTTTTCTGTCCATTGATAAAAAGGTTTCCCCATTGGGTACAAACATCCCCAATCGCCATATCTTGTGATCAGCGCTGAGGAGATAAGGAATATTGTGTGATCCCCCGAAGTTATTCTTAGGGACGGTTCGCCTGGAGGATGGTTCTGGTGCCGCTTGATCCGATCGAAGATAATTTCTGGGATTAATTGATCTCGTGACATGAAGCCATCGTTTGAAGCGTTATAGAAGATAACGGAGATCGCGCTGCGAACCGTGACGAAAAATTGGATGCTCGGCCGTAATCCCGAGACGATCGACGCGTTGACATTTTCTCTTGCCATAACGGAGAGAGACAGCCATCATTCTGTACGTTTCTCTGGTGGGCTTTTTTCCGGCGATCATCATATTTTTTGCGCGCGCGGCGAGGGCAGTTATCCGTCGACGACGATATCCTTGCAATCGCTTTTTTTATGAGCGAAACGCAACCCTCCGGGGAGAATATTCTCGTGATAATAACCGGACATAGCCGAGGGCGAGAGGAGACTGAGAAAGAAGAAATCTATCTTCCGTAGATCGCCGCAAGATCGACTGTTCGGGGTCGCTTTTACGAGACCTAGGCGCGTTTATCGACGGTAAAACGCACGCGGACGGTCGACTGCAGTTTTGCACATCCCGCGAAATCTTTACTTTAAGAGATAAGAGCCAGTGTCGGCGAGGAAGAGGGGAATTACGAGGAATACGCGAGCGGAATACCAATCGCGTTGACAAACAATTCGACATGGTAACGAAGAGGACTCCGTTCTGATCCATTCCTCGCGATGCGAGCGCGAGAGTGTTGTCCCGCGGGAAAGAGTGGTGTCTAGAAAAACAAGAATCAGTGCATTTCGAGCAGCAAGGAACACGAGCAAAAGTTCGGCTGAATGAAAACGACCGGTAGGAGGAAGTGGGAACGAACGAGAACTATGTTGCGTAGCGATCGATAGTCATTGAGTACACAACGGAAGGTTATTTCGTCCATTATAAAGACGTAGAGAAAATAAAAATAGAGGGAGAGGGAGGCAGAGAGAGAGAGAGAGAGAGCTGGGAGAAAAAAAGAAAAAGAGCGGGAAGTTTGACAGAAAACAGGAAAAAAGAGATGCAAGCTACGGCTGATCGACGGCGATCGAGGGCGACTCACGATCGGCGCGTTGTCGCCGAGAATGGAGGATAAATTTATCCGCGTCGCGAAGAGGAATGCGGCAGAAGCGTGGAGGAAGAGTGGCACGGGCACAACCGCGGAACGCCGCAGTCGCATTTCCGGTTTAAATTTAACACGATGATACGTGCGCTTTCGCAATTAGCCGCTATGGAGATTGCCGAATTTAACTGGAGGTTCGTTGGACGGAGGGAGATGGAAGGATTGTCCTTGTCGCTTGGCTTTGCTTGTGATGCGAATCGCGAAATCGCGAAACGCTTTCCGCCTTTTCGTTGCAAATTGGCAATTTCGATGAAGACGCTGCTAGTTGTTTCCTCTAAATTACAGCTAACGGAGATATTTCGTCGGTCTTTCACTAGAAAAAAAAGAAATCTGCGTGAAAATCTGGCAGATTTAATCAGAACGTGTCTAATGGAAAATAAATCAAGCAAAATTTTTCTAAAAATTACCTGACGAGCACGATTAATTCCTTTGCATTAAATATATTAGAATGTCTTGATTATTAAATTTATTCAGTAGATTGGCATAATTTTTTAGCGAAAATACATCTATAGTAAATATAATTAGAAGTTTTATAGATCTAAAAATATTAAATTTTTATGATGCTTATTTCTATCAATGTGAATTAACATTAATTTCGATTTAACTTGCTCTATCTTTTTTTCTAATTTTTAGAATCAGAGAAAGTAAGTTACTTTTCATTCTTTTTTAATCTTCTTTTTAAGAATTTGAAGAGATAAAAGAGTTAAGACGAGATTAAAGTTATAATCTACATTGGTAGAAATGGACTTACGTTTTAAACGTCGTTGTAAAATATCGAATCTAATCGTGGAAGTTTGATCTCATCATAATTCTACCATTAAACATCTTCTTAATATAATTAAAACATTTTCCTCGTTGTTCGCGTGCGGCTACGTAAAGGAAGACAGAGAGAGAAAGAGAAAAAAAGAAAGATTAAAATCTCTGCTGGCTGTAATCCAATGTACGCGAGAATGACCGTCCACGGTGATTAGATCGCTAAATTAGTTGCTATCTCGGCGGGAGCGATAAATAATAATATTCCGCGAGTTAGTTAATAACTGCCGAGCATGTCGATGCCTGCATGCACTGCGTGCAACACACGCTCATTTTGTTCATGTATACGCGAAATATTTATCACATGATTTATACAACGTGCGCGGCGCACACACACACACACACACACACACACACACAACTGTTACATCGGCAATCCGCCGTCAATTTGTCAGATATTGGTGCGTCCATGCACAGCACGGAGGCGGAGGCCGAGGGGAATTATTAAATTCTCGGCAACGCGGGAAAACATCGCGCATTAATAAGAGCTAATTAATGCCCGATGTTCGAAATTTGTTCATTTGCGCGACGGTTAAGCTTCGTAAAACGCGATTAAGCGTCAATGGTAATAACGCTCTCGTTTACGCACGATGACGCGTAATAATGCGTCTATATTGATGGAATACTTTTCCCAATCCTGCGACCGTTCGTATGCGCGTGTATGTACGTGCGCGACTCTGATGTCGCGCGAAAGCGCGACTCTCCATCATTTAATAATCCAATAACGTCGCGCGAATAAATGACTCACGGTGTTACGCTGACCTATAGAAGCTCGTGATTCATAGCTCGACGTTTACCCTATGCTACGTAATAATTATCGTTGCGCTCTTTACATAAAGATACGACCATGGTGGATACGACGACACTGTAGGTCCTCTTCTAATTAATAGTTTTCTCTCTCGGTAGGCCTTTACGTATCAATTACAAAGTTTTTCCATTTTATTCTCCGTTCAGCAGGTAACACGATTTGCCGGCAGTAAAATTATTTAACAATAGCGCGACGTATCTTCAAACGATTATCACGATAAATTGTAAAAATGTACGGCGCATCGTTATCGCATCCGCGCGATTTGTTAACGGAGTATTTACTGTCTGGAAATATCTGGAATTCTCAGGAAATTTCTCGCCGAAACGGTCCCTTCGTGAAAAACTTGGCTTTTATTTCGCGGGTAACAGAGTGCTGCATTTTTCACGTTGTAAAAGTGCTACATAAGTTTCGCGTTGAGATCAGTTTATTTTAACCCTCCCTTTAACACTTGGATGTTGATGTTTTTCTTTGTTCGCGATTTTACTTTTTTATTACACTTCTTGAAAATTTTACGCGATATGAAATGCTTATTTTATGGGCGTCCTCCTTTTCAATACTTTCTCAGATTTGATGATACCTCGAGTAATTTTTTTTCTAAGGTTTTTTAATGAGTTCGTTAAAAAAAAGATCTGATTGCATAAATTGAAAGTCTCTGGTAGATTTGGCCAGTATATTTGTTGGGAAATGAACGAGAATCAAAATTCTTTTAGAAATTATCAGATGAGCACAATTGATCCTTGTTGATATACAAGAATTTCATACTAAATTTATTTAATTAAATCAGCATAACTTTGCAGCGAGAAAAACGTCTAGAGTGAAATACATTCTACTATACTACATCTTGTTAATATAATTAAAACATTGTTCTCTGAGTAAAAAAGAAGAACTAAATTCGGATAAAATCGATTTTTAACTTGCATCTAAAAATGTTATAACTTCGTTGAAAATTTCAACGAAAATATCTGAAAGGTCAAAGAAATTCAAAGAAATTGTTTTTCAGTGTTGAGTAGATATCCCGAAATTAAGTTCCGTGAATTGAGTAAGAGTGACCGATTGAAAGAAGATTGATTAAGTTTGCGCAGCCGTGAAAGGTAGCTCGAATATATTTCTTGCGGGCGCGCTTTATTATTTTTTACTTGCATCTCGAAGAGAGACAGAGGGGCGCTAAGTAAAATTCAAACGCGAACGTGTTTACGTCTTAATGTTTTCCTTGCACGAGAACGTCATGAGCCTTGTTGTGTCTGCTTACAGAGTATACGATGTCGGAAGGTGGACGTGCAGTGATCTGGCACCTAGTATCAGCCCCTCGTGCTGCACGCCACCCAAAAGATTCACATACTAACTGCTAAGTCGCACCCGCGCGCGCGTGTGTGTGTGAGAGAGAGAATTGAATCCCCACCAGTTGCAGGGTGTACTGCACTGTAACTCCATGACGCATTTAACACATGGCCCGCCTAGAGAGTAAGTGTCGTTTCTTTTCACATGTGTGTGTCCTCGACATTCTCTCGCAGAATTTTTCGCCTCGCTTCATTTCCGTCCGATGACATCGGGTCGGCACGGAACGGTTTACCGCACGCGTACACACATATACATATACACGGGGGCAGAGATAGATAGATAGAGAGAGAGAGAGAGAGAGGAGAGGAGGGGAGAGAGCGAAAGAGAGAGAGTCGTGTAAGCACGTCGGAAATGAGAAGAATCTCCATTGTCCACTAATACCATAGATTGATAAATTCTGCTGTAGAAATATCACCGGTCGCTGCTCGATTAAATGCGCTCGGATGATCATCACAAATTGCTTATTCTGCACTTTTTCATTTGAAAGCATTAATATATAGCCTTGGCCGTAGGTATAAAGCATTCTCAATTTATTGCATTTTCTTGGAGAGGGTGGTAATAGAAACCGAAGGACTAAGAAAATATGAAAACTGTTACAAAAATAAATATTATTTTTCAATAAAAAAAATATATTTTAATTTAGTTTTCGTTAGATATAGAATGTTTATGTTCAATTTGTGGGGATGCTTTATAGTTATGGCCAAGACTGTAGAAGACTGTAAAGAATTAATAATTTAAAGGAAATATACAAAAAATAATAAATACAATAAAATATATCACTTATTTGCTACAATAATGATCAAAAATTATTTTTTAATTGTTTACAAAAAAGAATGATTATCTGGAGTTTTTATTGTTGATAAAACGATATAACTGAGCTTTTAATTAAAAAGAAGTTTGCATCCAGAGTACTATAAATCCAAATAAGGATTGCTTTTAAGTTAAGGGTTTATTTTTATAACACGCGAGAATTCAATACATTGAATGAAGAGCTAATAATATTCTCATACTTCCACAGTCAATTATTATACCAAAATTGTATTTAAAAATGATCACATTTTTAATAATTCAAAACATTCAAATTTTCTTAAAAAATATTTTTGTATGTTATTATTGTAGCAAATGAGAATATGGCCAAACAATCGGATGTTCTTTTCACTGTACAAATTCTTTGATTGACCTGAAATCGATTTTTCCTCTGCAAAATATATCTATAGTTAATAATCAACAGTTAAGCTTACAATTAGTAAAAGACAAATATAATTATTCTTTAATTTAATTAGTTTTGTATATTTTTGTAAACCAATTTTTATTTAAATAGTTTAAAAATCGCAAAATATGCATGTACAATTTTAAAAAAGAAGATTGAGAAAAGTCGCATCTGGCGATGACTCGACATTTTTGTTTGAGAGAAAATCGTTTTTAAATCGGCCGAGGAAACTGGGACGTTTCTGCATAAATCACCGCCAGATGGGCGAGCAATGTAATCGCGATTTACACGCACTTGATGATTCCAGTACCGAGCATAGTGGTGTATAAAGGAAGCAGGTCGCAGGACCGACCTGAGAGTCCTACGGTGGTGGTGAGAGGAGGAATGCCCTCACTGCCGTCCTCCAGGCAAGGCCTCGCCGTAAGTGGCTCCGGTGGTAGTGCACCTCACCAGGACGCCTCGGAGCCGGATATGATAGACGGGAATGCCAACCCCAACATCGGCACCTCCCCCGTACCGAACTCGCTCCATCGTCCCGCGTCCTCCTGCCCGCCGCCCGACAAATCGGACACTGAAAGCAAGAACTTTCGCAATCGGGTACGTGTCCCATCAATTACTACTACATCATTGTCCCTGACTTCACTCGTCCCTTTTCTCATTCATTAGAAACTTCGAGGTACATTTGGAAGAAGTCGTTAAGCTGGCGTCAGATTTAGAAGATATAGACGATATGTTAAAGAGTATCAAAAGTTACGCGACGAAACGTCTATTCCCCTTTTATTGCGTCTCTCGAGTTTGCGACATCGAACAATGGCAAACGCGAATTGAAAGTGTTGTGTCTATCGAATCGATACCGCGACGACGCGCTGAACGGTAAAGAACTGCTCTTGGTTGTTGCAGACGAACACGAAACTGAAGCTGTTAGTCAGAAGCCATGCCATGAGAGAATCGACGTCCCCACCGCGGGAACCGCACGGCAACGGTCCGGCGTCGCCGCACAGTCCGCAGTCGGCGGACGGCGAGAAGAAGATCGTGTGCAGCCTCTCGCCCAATTCCACCGGCGCCAAGCTCAACAACAACGAGTCCATGTACAACAGCAATCTTTGTTCCGCTCAATCCCCTAAGCAAATGCGCAACACGGCGACTTCACCGACTTGTCGGACACCGTCGCGAAATGGTAAGTGCGAGACCCCTTTTATTCTTACCGCGCAAAAGTAAATAAATTTTACAAAAATGAATAAATAAAGGCAACCAACTTACAATGAACCAAGCTAGATGACAATGCTTATTTATTACAACATTACAATAATATAAAAACACAAATAATTGCGTGTAAATAATTGCATAATCGATGTTTCGATTTGTAATGAGGTCATCTTCATTCATCTGCATTACAAAATATCATTGGAATAGAATATTTATTTAGCCAAATTATTTGCCAAAGAAGGAATTTGATTTACACTTTTTCTTATCCATACATATCCTTTCTACTTTATGGCATTTAAAATTTAACCGTGTTTACCTACCTATCGTTATCGTGCTTACAGTATCTTTTACATTATCTATCTTACATGTTATTTTACCTCTGGACATTTCTAAACTTTCTCTTTAACCTCCTTTTCCATTCTTATTCTATATTTTCGCGTTCTTTATATCATCTTCTGATTTACTTAAAATTTTAACTTAAATTCCTTATTCTTAGTTTTTCTTTTTCTTAACAATCTAAATCTTCGTCCACGCTCATTCTATATATTTCGCATTTTCCATCTTATTTCATTATATTTATAATCCTAACTCCTCTATCCTTAGTTTTTTAAACTGTGACCTAAAAAATCGCCCATTTTTTGGGCCCTCAATTTTGGAACTATGTGCCAAATGATACCTATATGGTATAATGAGACATTAATTACATAGAAGTTTCAAGTTGAGGTGACATTTGTTATCAGAACTGGAGGGAACGGGGGATCAAATTCCATTATCGAATTTTAAGATAACTCCAAAAAACGGTCGATTTCGGGACTGAACTGCGTGCCAAATAGTACTTTATAATGAGACGTTAATCACAGAGAAGTTTCAAGTTGAAATAACAATTGTTATCAGAGTTAAAGGGGGAAGGGGAGGAATTAAAGTTAATTATCGAATTATCACAGGTCTGCGAAATCCGGTGTTTTAAGAAGGTTGAGCCTATGAAGGCAAAATAAACATATTTCTGCATAATTTTACGAATGACGCTCGTTTTGAATGTAAAAAAATCGGATTTTTGCGTGAAGAGATGTAATATACGTATTACGTGACCCCCTCCTTCAGTTATAACAATTGTCATCTCAACCTAAAACTTTTCTGTGATTAATTATAATTTTCTGTAATTAATATTGACCTTTTTTGGGTCACTCTTTATTTCCTTGACTCTCTAAGCCCTTCTATACATTATTCCCATCATCTTATTTCTTTTATTTATTTCCTGTAGCTAAAATTATATTATTCTGTCAATTAATTCTGTTCAATCTTCATTTTCCTTCATCACTCTACTAGTCTTTATTTTTTAGATTATTATTAAAAGTTAGAAATCTGTTACTATCGAAAAAATTACTAAAAAAATTTTTATTCTGGGACTTTTGCTGCGCAGGTCAATCTAGTCCCTCTCAGGTACACTCACCAAAGAGCATCACTTCTCCGACTAATGGCAATAAATTGGAGAATCATCGCTCCAAATTCGCTAGCGCGAATATCATTCAGAAATGCAATAACTGTGTGAAGAACAATCAGAATGAGCGGCCAGGTCTACTGCAGACTCCGATATCACCCACCAGGTCCGGTCAAGCGTTGCAGCATTCGCCGAAGAGCACGAATCTTGCTCCGTGCGGCCAGAATAATCAGCACAAATCCGAGCAACGAAGGCCGAACACGTTGAACATTTGTAACAATCAGTGTTCGGCGCAATGTGGCAACACGCTCTCGGTGAGCAGGCCCGGATCTAGGCACAAGCTGAGGCATCAGAATTCGTCCCAGGGCAGCTACGATAGCGCATCGCCATGCCTTTCGCGCGGTATGTCACTCGAATGTTATACTTTTCCTTTCCTTAATTTATTTTCAATCAGTAAGCTTACAGTATTGTGATTCATATGACATCAGAATTTGTGTGTATGTGTGAAAGATTAATCTTTTAGTATATATGGTAACAATCTTCACAATTTGTCATGCTTAAGGCTCCTGACAGTCATATTGGAATTGTGACGTCATAAGCGAGAAATCATATGTTAAAGTTTTTTTGCATGCCACGAAACTTTGCAAATAAAGAAAATTTGGATGAAACAAAAAAATGGAATCGCTTTAAAACATTTGTAAAAATGGACGGAAATTATCTTTTCTTCCTTGAGGTGTATTCCCATACAAATGTCAGCTAGGTATTTATTTTTTCTTGTTACCAAATGTTAAAAAAAGTTAATGATACTTGAGGAGCATTCGGGTGGGAATCCGAACACACTCCTAACAGTCAGTAAATAGTCGTAAAAAGTACGTGAAGTGAAGCTTATTCAGGCAGAAAAACACGGTTTAACAGCTGTTTACATAAGAGAAAAATATGATTTTACGTATGAAATTTAAAGATAACATTACTTTCCGTCCATTTTTACGAATTTGATAAGTACGAGTCACATTTTCACAATTAAGCATGTAATAATGAAATGACATGCAAGACAACATTTCGTCGCCAACGATTTTTTTTTACAATTAGGCCCGTTCTACAATACATCGTATGCCGGTGTTACGGTAAGCAATAAGAATTGACCATCACAGCTGAGTATTTTCCTCACATTCGATTGTGATTGATAAATTTTTACGATTACAATACCAACATATAACGTATCTTAGAAAGAGACTTAGGGCTATGGCACACAAAAAACTTAAGCAGTAAGACTTAGCAGTAAAGGTCTATCTACAATGAAAGTAGTAAGGCCCTTAAAGGACCGTCTACAATAAAAGTAGTAAATCGTAAGTCGTAAAAAATTGACTAATCACAGTCGAATATGAGAAGAATAATCGATTATGATTGGTCAATTTCTTAAGACTTACGACTTACTATTATCATTGTAGATGGCCCTTAAGACTTTAGCAATAAAAAATCAACATGTAGTTTGCTATTGCTTACGTTATGGCCTTAAATTCTCGATTGTGATTGGTCGATTTGCTTACAGTTCAAGTTTTTCTGTATAGCGGCGTCTACAATGAGATTTAAAATTTAAGATTTAAGAAAATTGACCAATCACAATCGATTATTCTTCTCACGTGAGATGAATAATCGACTATTGGTCAATTGGTCAATTTTCTTAAATCTTAAGTCTCATTGTAGACGCCGCTTATGCCATAGCCTTTAGAATGATTATCAAGGTCCTAATTTCTACCGTGATATGGTGTCGCCACTGTCAACGCAGAGTTTTTGACTGACAATGAGTATAGTCAAGAGCCTTAAATATCTTTTTCTGTTCCATAAAGATGATGATGGTCTCTTCTAGTTAGATCAAATATTGTAATGTTTTTTTCTCTATCAGGAATTTTTTATTATAATTAGCTTTAATCTTCTTTACAAATTTTTTAAAATGTATATCAATAATCTTCTTCTATTTCCTCATTCTTTACATAAAATAATCTTGGCTTAATTTATATTTTTGAAAGTTGTAATTTCTGAACAATAACAGTGAAATTATTTTATTTATTTAAATAAATACGGGAATCGAAAAGATCGAAAATTGAAGTCGGATCTTTTGCTGGACAGACAACTGGTTTATTGCTGGGGTGTTCTCAAACAATTAGGCGTTAACATTCTGTTTTTGATTCTTACATTACACTTTATTATTAAGTTATATTACAGTTTATTATATTAAGTTTTATATTTATTTACAGACAGCAGCACAGAGCTGTACACGGACAGCACCGGGATAGATCTCGAACAGTTCATCGCGGAGACTATAAACCGCAATCAGAAAGATCGCACAGTGTTGTTGAAGATCGAGAAGGATTTAATTGAGTTTGCGAAGGATCGGCAGAAGGTCTCCCACAAGTTCCCGAGCATGTCATCGTACAATAGGATGCTGGTACATCGGGTGGCAGCTTACTTCGGGATGGAGCACAACGTGGATCAGTCAGGTCTGAGTGTCATCGTCACGCGGACGAAAAACATGCGAATACCGGACACTCGCTTCAAAGAACACATCAGGGACGATCTGATCTTGTCAGAGGAGCCGCGAAGAAGTATCCTGAAGCGAGACTCAAGCTCATTCGAGGACAGCTTCAACTTCAAATCGCCTGACAGACTGTCGGGCGACTGCTGCCGGCGCAGTAAGAGCTTCGAAGAGCGCGAGGAGGAGTACGAGCGCGCCAGACGAAGGATATTCAAGGACAGTAGCGGTGAGAGCAGCGAAATCACGTCCTGGCCGTGGTCCTCGACGGAGAGCTCGGACGCCTCGGCGAAATTTCGCTTGCTGCATCCGGATCACCACCTAGTCAGGTAAATCGCATCTGAGTTTTTATACGATTACCGCGCGTAACAATAATGTTATAAATTATTCATCAAATATATCTCTTAATACGATAATCGCCTTAGAATACAGTTTATATATGCATCTTCAGGCAAAATCGACTTCTGAAGGGCGAATCCTTTGACGGAAGGGATTCGTTCCGCGGTGCGGTATTGCGCCCGTCCGTTTCTAAGTCATTCAGTTTCGGTGGATACACCAAAGGCATGCTGACGAGGGGGGACAGTGTCACATCCACACATAGTGCGGGGGCTCGCCTCATGAAGCAAGGTAGTTGTTCGTAATTGCGGGGTTGCGTCGAAAATACCGACAAAGATTTTAATGCAACGATACTATATAGTGATATTTCGTTGCATTATTGTCGTCCTTGCATCGCTCTCTTCTATTATCACGTGGCAAATGTGTTGTAGATTCGGGGGCGAGCATGTGTTCACGCTTGAGCCCGAGCCGCTCGAGCAGTGGCTACAAATCGCAGAGTCAGCGCAGTGACGCGACGATATCACCATCTCCATCACCCTCTCCCGTACCAGCCGCCATGACGTGTAGCCACACTCAAGTATCTAGTCAGGATTTAGTCTCGCCGGAGTCAGGTGGCGGCCAGACGGTCATGTGGGCAGTTACCAGTTTGTCCAGCGTGCCACCCGGCAGCATAATAATAAACCCGCAGACCAATCAGCCGTACACGAACCCGGACGGTTCGATCTATCGCTACGACCCGGACAATCCGCCAAAGTTCTTCGCTATGGAGAATGAGAACGGCGTCGCTAATAAGCAACAACAACAACAGCAGCAGCAGCAACAACAACACACGGAATTACCCTCCGAGCCATCCAGAACGAATAACAACCTCAAGCACGACGGCAGGAAGCAGAGGTCGCCGCAATCGAGGATCAGTGTCACGGGAACGACCACCGGGGCCCAAGTAACGAACACGGCAACATCGCCGAGCCTGCCGTTTACTCCGCCACCACCGCCGCCACCTCCACCACCTCCTACTTCTGCACCGCAGAACCTCCCACCCATTCCGCAGCAGCAGCAACAGCAAGCGCAGCAACAGCAGCCACAATCGCAGCCACAGCAGCAGCTGCAGCTGCAGCCGCAGCCGCAGCAGCAAAGTCTAGTCAAATCGTCAACAACATTACCGATGTTTAGTCATACTAACCAAACAGCTCAACAACCGTACGCGACCTATGTACCTACCTCAGAACCGTATAATCAGGGTGTCTATCCGCCCCCCATGGGGCAACCGACTGTGATGATGGCGCCTCATCCGACTCAGGGTCAAGCGAGTATGCAAAATGGCGGTCAAGGGGACGTTGTTTTCAATCAGAATCAGGTCTACACCAATTACGCGGTACCTGTGCATCAAGGACCAATACCACAGTCAGGGGTAAGTGTATCAAGGAATTGAAAATTCCCTTGTAAATAATAATATTAATCGATCAAGAATATAACAACAAACATATTTAATTAAGTTAAGGATCGGTAGGAGCTACGGTGGAGACCTCTGTCGGAAACGAATTTTTTTTATCCCAAATTACGGTTAAAATATTGATAAAATCGCAATATACCTAATTGCGATATTTGTAATCAGGAGAATTGCCTGCATCTCTCTACAGAGTAATTTTTTTTTTTTTTTTTGAAAAAATGACCAAAAAGTTTTACGAAAAGGCCGATTTTTGCTTCGCTCGTGGAAAGTAAAATTGATGTCGTTTCTTATAGTTTTTGAGACGAGGAATCTAATAGTGCTGATTAAAATTACATCACATGTCGGGAACACATCGAAAATTGAGTTTAAAATCGGAAAAATGCGTGGCATCGCAGTAATTCGCAAGACAAGTCGCTACGCTGCATGTGTTGATGATATACGGTGTGTACATTATGTTTTTGTCATAACAAATGAAGAGTTTGTTATAAAAATGCTATATTTAATAGCGAAAATCCCGTACGCCTACACATCAAGTCACGGCTCCCCCCACCCAGCGGATTGCTGTACGTCTTCTGCGAGTAAACCACACATTTTTCCGACTTTAAACTCAATTTTTGATGTTCCTGACATGTGACGTAATTTTAACTAGCACCATTAGATTTCTCGTCTCAAAAATTGTAACAAACGATGTCAATTTTACTTCTTGCAAGTGAAACAAAAATCGGCCTTTTCGTAGCACCTTTTTTTAGCTAAAAGAAGTCCCAAAAAATATTACTTCTACGAGACAAAATGTGGTAAAGTGCAGATATATGTCAGCACCGTGAAGTATAAATGAATTTGCCTGTCTTTCCTGCCGAGCTCCTTAAGGCAATGCTGGAATACCGACATTTGCATTCTAATGGATAACTCCGAAACGACTGAACGGATTTAAAAACGCTTTTACAGGATTGAAATAGACATAAAATGTCATCGCGCTAGGTATATATGAGTAGTAAAAACAAAAAATATTAAAAAATTACTTTTTGGGGTATTATAACCTGTCACCTGACGTAAACATTTTATTGGTACAAAAGTTCTGCAGCTCGTATGTACAAAAAAAGTATCTAGCGCGCATCGGATTACTTGCACGAATAATACAAGACGTTTTGAGCTACGATTGGAAGCATAGAAAAAAAATTGTTTATTAGAATGCAATTTGTGGTAATTCGTACGCTTGGATAAAGTAAAGACAGCAAAAATTGCGTCTTGTAGTAAGTGCCGGATTTTCCAAAAGATGGCACTTTAATAAGTTAGATAAGGACAGTCCATGTGTTTGAGTGAGACCAGAAGATATTGTAAGTTTATTTAGAGATACTAGTGATATCACTGATACTAAAGAATCTGCTTTATCGACTTCGTACAAATTTGGCCGACCTTTCAGCACCTTCTTAAGGCGATTCTAAAGTCGTCTGTTTTATCGACCGAACGTGATTATTTTCCATGATAAAATAAACATAATTAAAGGCAACAGATTTAAAAATCCTTCTCCATGATTAAAGTACAGGCATCAATGTAGTTCCGGCTGGTAGAGGTTATGCTAAGAACGAAAAAAATTTTTTTAATTTAGATCTCCGTTACCTTTTTTAGTCCAACATGGCGTTTAGAGCTGTTAACATGTGCCAATATTTGCTTCGTACAAAAATTTGGCAGTTTTTTTGGTACAAAATGATACCAGCCGGAACTATGAATTACATGTGCAAACAATGTTGAGTTCATAAAATTAGGCTTGGATGTCTAATAAAAAAGATATATGTTCTTGAAAATTTGTTACGATGTGTGCGTGCGATATCGATATGGTAGTAAACATGAACACATCACTACACACCATTACGTCAATATCGCACGCATACATATTCATAAATCGTCGATAAAACAGCGACATTTTTAGAGTTTGATTCCAGTTTAGGATCGCCTTAAGGCGATGCTGGAAGATCGGAAAAATTTGCACGAGGTCGATAAAACAGACTTCAGTGTCAGTGATATCTCTAAATGAACTTCTTACAATATCTTTTGTCTTACTCAAATACGTGCAATGTCCTTATCTAACTTATTGAAGTGCCATCTGTTGCAAAATCCAGCACTTACTACTAGATGCATTTTTACTGTCTTTACCTTAGTTAAACGTACGAATTACCATAAATTGCAGTTGTAAGGATTTTTTTTCTTAGGCTTTTAATTGTAGCTCAAAAGGCTTTGTATTATTTGTTGTCATGTAATTCGATTCGGAGGACGTAAGCATTTTGTACATATGAGTTACAGAACTTTTACACTAATAAAATGTTTACGTCAAGTGACAGCTGTACGGTACGAAAAAATGTAATTTAAAAAATTTTTTTTGTTTTGACTACAAATTCCTTCGTCCCCCCAATACATTTTATGTCTATTTCAATCCTGTAAAAGGGTTTTTAATTCCATTCTGTCATTTAGGAGAAATCTTTACGACTGCAATGTGTCGGTAATTCCGAAGGCGTTGCTAGAAGGTCGGAAATATCGACATTGCAGTTCAGTAGATTTCTCCTAATTGGCGGAACGGAATTCAAAAACCGTTTACAGGGTTGAAATAGACATAAAATTGTGATGTGAGGCGGACGAATTTATAGTAAAATCGGAAAAAATTAAAAAATTACATCTTTTCGGATCATACAGCTGACACCTGACATAAACATTTCATTAGTGTAAAAGTTCTGTAGCTCATATGTACAAAATGCTTACATCTCACACTACAGATTACATGAACGAATAATACAAAGCCTTTTAAGCTACGATTGAAAGCGTAGAAAAAAAATCCACTAAACTGTAATTTATGATAATTCGGAGGCTTAGCTAAGATAGGAATAGTAAACAAAGCGTCTGGCAGTAAGTGCCGGATTTTCCAAGAGATAGCACTTCAATAAGTTAGATAAAGAGAATCCACGTGTTTGAATGAGACCAGAAGATATTGTAAGAAGTTCATTTAGAAATACCACTGACACTGAAGAGTCTGCTTTATCGACCTCGTGCAAATTTTTCCGACCTTCCAACATCGCCTTAAAAGAATGCTGAAGTCCTGTTTTATCAACTGAAATTTCGACCAAATTTGCATGAGATCGAAAACAGAGGCATCTCTTAACTTCTTCTCTAACTTCTTACAATATCTCCTGTCTTATTCAAACACGTGCAATGTCCTTATCTAACTAATTGAAACGCCATCTCTTGGAAATCCGGCACTTACTGCCAGACGCAATTTTTGCTGTCTTTGCCTTAGCTGAGCGTACGAATTACCACAAATTGCATTCTAATGAATATCTGTTTTTTTACGCTTCCAATCGTAGCTCAAAAAGTCTTGTATTATTAATGCAAGTAATCCGATGAGCGCTAGCTACTTATATTTTGTACGTATGAGCTACAGAACTTTTGTACCAATAAAATGTTTACGTCAGGTGACTGGTAATTTTTTAAATATTTTTTCGTTTTTACTACAAATTTATAGCTAGTACACTTACATTTTATGTCTATTTCAATCCTGTAAAAGCGTTTTCGAATCCGTTCAGTCGTTTCAGTTATCCATTAGAATGCAAATGTCGTATTCAGCATCCTCTTAAGCTGAAGGTAATGATGAAATATTGCATGCTTTTGAGACCCGCCATCTTATCTAACCTAACCTAACCTAATCACAGATCAGGCTCAATGTCCGGCCCGCAACCGTGGTTCGCGACCGTTTCAAAATATGAAATTTAGACTCCATTTAGAAATTTCTACTCCATGTGATAGTCCCTGAGTAACGCAGAGAGGGCGATAATTTGATATTCTGATCCGTGGGCGATGGTCTTGAAATCTGGCTCCTCGGAAAAACTAGTTGGGCATCCGTTATAGAATACATAACTAAATTGCTTTAAAGTGAACGTGAAGCTAATTTGATAGGAAGAGGTAACACTGTTGTTATCGTAATAACCATCTTTAGCTAATCATGGCTAAACTATAGAATTTATTTAAATACTTTTATTATAACTATAAATATCGTTTAAATAATCCAACACTCATTCACAAAGCACTGTACACGTTGATTAGCGTAAATATGGCGTTTCGGTTTCAGGGTGATCCGTAGCAAACTATGTTCTAGTGATCTAGATATTCTATAGAAATCTGTATACTTTATTTTATCCTCAGATTAGGTTAGGGTTTATTATTATTTAAGCGCAGATTTATTTCTGATTGACAGGCTTAACAAGTCCTTAACATTAAGGCTTAGCCAGTCTGCGCAAATAATACGAGACAAATAAATTTGTAGAGTTTCTTCTAATGGTTCTTCAAAAAATTCAATCTAATGGTGTAACGTATGTCGATGTTTTCAGGATATGGCGGAGTTGTCCGGATATTTCTTAGGGATGAACATTTACGATCAGCGTGGCAGCGGTGACAGCCATCCCACGCCCCCGCACTCCACGTATCCGCCACCGCCGCCCTCCGCGAACCAAGCCGTGCAGAATATGCAGTCGATACAACCGAATTACTGGCAACCACCGCCGAATCAAATACCGGTAAAAAGAGAATAATCACGCGCTTTGTTCTCTTATTGTCGCTTGTAAAACTTTCTGCGTTTGGTAAGAGAATAAATCTTTCCAGCCCCAACAGACCATGTATTTCGTACCTCCGCCTGCAACGGCAATTTCCGTCGGGCAGAATCCAGGGGACAGGCAGCAGCTGCATCAGCAGCAGAGATTCCCGACGAATTACTCTTTCAACGCGCAAGCAATGACGCCTCCGAGCCAAGCGAGTTGTACGTTACGATCTAATAGCAATTGCTGTATCTCTCTCTGTTTCCTCTGTAATATCTGCAGTAATTGACGTTGTTGCATTGCAGCTAATTACGTCGGCAGTTACCCGGTACCTTACAATTCCGTACCGGCGGTAACTCCGACCCCCGGCGACTATACGTATCAACCACCGGTTCAAATGGTTCCTACGTATTATCCGCCGGGACAGCCGGCGATACAGCCACCGCCTGTGATGTACAGAGTACCTACGCCACCGAACACACCAACGTCTAGTCAGGTAATGAATAATATTATTGAGATAATTATTAATCTTCACAGGATTTAATAGATATACGAACATCGATTTATTGGATTGCCATTACAAGATTGACAATTTAATTGATATTACTATTAATAGTACTATTCGGTTTAGAGCTGCGTTGAAACCAGCGATATGCGGCACGCGGTTTATTTGAACTAAAAAAAATCATTAGATTCACACTTTAGAATATTATGAAAGCACTAAGATCCGTTTTGACATTTTCCGTTCTTAATTGTTTGTACATTCTTTGATCTATCTTGATACTTAATTATTAATCTGTATTTATTATTGGTAATTAATTGCCAATATTAATTTTGCTGGAAATTGATATAACAAAAGATCATTAGTGCATAAAATTATATTATTTATATATAAAATTGTTTTATTAAATTATGTTATATTAACATAAAAAGTTAATGCATCATATTTGCTATAAATCAACAGATACCTGGTATGCCGTTGATGTATGTCAACTCAAGCAGCTACGCGGCCCCGGCGATGGTGACCAGTGGAACATTCGGACATCAGGTTACCCACAACGGCACGTCTCCGGCGCCGCCCGGCGCGTACATGGCACCCACGCTGGTTCCCAATCTCGTCTTTAGACAAAACGTTCCTGTAAGAATATCACAGTAACGACGTCACCTACTAAGTCATTACGGGACTCTCGATATAAAAGGTTTTTCTTGAAATAGGTCGTTCCCAGCGTGCGGGCGACAACGCCAGGGAACTCTCAACGAGCTAGTCGATCTCCAACTCCGGCGCACGAGCTTTTCGGAGGTGGAAGTGGAGATCGAAGCGCACAACCTCAACCACGTTATCCACTGCCAATGTATCAGGGTGTCCATATAGTGCAAGGTACGATACTTTTAAATGTCATCAATAGTCCTGTTCTTTATAACTGAACTGATGCACTAGTTTACAGTTTATCTTTCTCTTTCTACATTGAAAAAAGAAATTTAACTCTGAATTAGTGCAGTCAGTTCAGATATAAAGAACAGGCCTTACAATTTATCAAATCGTTCTTTAAATAGCTGTTAATATTAAATTTAAAACGCTACAGGGGATATGAGATTGATGCATCCAGGCGTACCATCCAACCCCCGGTTGCAGTATGCACCAGTATCATCACCGCCTGTTGTTCAAGGCTGCCCGCGGCCGTACAGGCCGCCTTCGTCTAACACCTCGGGGGCCGGCACTCCGACTTCCTTTGACGGCAGAAATCAGAAAATTCGCAAACAGAGGTAATTTAAGAGCTCTACGTTATTTTTTGTTAAACATTACTTTCTGTTTCTTTCGGTAAATATATACGCCCGTGCAATTCATTTAGGTCCAAAGTAACATCTTTACCACCGAGCGGCGCACGATCCAATTTTTATCAGGCACCTTCCATGTCATCGCTCTCATCAAACGTACCCAAAGACATCAGAGAAGGTATGAAAAATTTGCAATGAGCATAGAGAGAAAGAGAGAGAAAAGAAAAAAAATTCGATGTTCGCGCTCAGTACGTCGCTTAAGATTTAGTTCATTTTCTGCTTTCATTTTGCTTATGAAGGATTAAAGTGTAACACGATTTTGACACATTCTTGTCTCCTCTTAAAAGCGAAACCTGTGGAAGACAATATGATATAAGGTACAGAACTTAAGTATAAAATACAATACTACACACAGAACACAGTGCCTTCTTTATACGATAGGGGCTTTTTCACGTGCGTTAATTCATTTTTATTAATATTTATCGTTTTTTTTCCAGTTTTGTACGATAACGTGCTGGAAAGTGATTCCTACTTGCATAAATTTATTAAATATATAATATTGAGTATGTATATGTATATATATATATATATATATATATATATAT